TCTCACCACCATCACGAACAGAGCAGTATAACGCATGGAAGGCACCCCCGAGGGATGGTCGCGGGGCGAGATTAATTGTCGCGGGATTCCACCTCTTCCTCCATTACTGTCATTACTGCCATCTCCGAATCACTCTTCTTCGCCTCCTCCTCCTCTCCCCCCTTCCTCCCCCCTGTGCCTCTCACAACCTCGCCACTGTCCCCAGCTCTGCTTTCCTTCTTTGCTGCCTCCTTTTTCGACTGAGGAGAAGAGCACAGGGAGTTGCCAGCTCCATCGATCGGCTCGCCGCCTCCTCCTCCCCCCCCCCCACCCCTTCTTCTCTTGATCCAACGAAAAATGGGTGTCTTTTTTATCCAATCTGCTTCCCTCGAGCTCGTCATTTTGTTTTCTCGAGGTTGATAGATCCTGTATGCGTCGAAGGCGGCTCCAGCTGGAGAACACGCCATGTTCAGCTGAGGTTGCTCTTCTTGTTCTTCGCCTCGCTGTGGGATCCAAATAGGTGTGTTGACATAGCTGGGTTTGAGTTTTTGTTGGTAACCGAACAAGGTGTTCTTTGTCGTAGTTATTGTGCTGTCGTTGCTGTTTTTCGTGGGAAGCTGTGGCTTCGGCTCTGTTTTATGACCTTTTGGGTTTCGGAAACTGATAGATAGGGAAGAGGCAGCTTCTCGCCATCAACCCGAGAGTGAGTTATTTCCTTCGTGAGCTGAAACCATTATAGTGTCTTCAGTTCACGTACGTGCCTCCACTTCTGATCCCTCGCTCTCATCTGTTGCTCAGGAATGGCAGCTCGTCTCGTGGAAGGTAGAAGCCACCATACGACCTGGGATGCTGCAGTGGCAGCAGAAGAGCAAGCCCACGAGGAGCTGACCAAGAACACCCTGCGGCTTCGGATCAAGTGCCCCAAGACCGGAGACGAGGACAGGGAAGCAGCGGCTCAGGTGGCGGTGTCTCCATCTGGTGATAGTGGTGTGATAGTTGACCAATCCACCGGTGGTGCTGACGGGGATCTTGCCGGCGATGAGGATGCTAACGCCGAATCTGCATCGGAGGTCAAAGAGGTGGTCGACGAGGGTTGTGGCAGCTTCAAACGCAAGCATGCAAACAGGAGGGCGGTGGTCCCAACATGCCCCGAGTGCGGGAAGACCTTCCCCTCCGATAAATCACTGTTTGGCCACCTGAGGTGCCACCCGGAGAGAGACTACAGAGGAGTTAATCCGCCTCCGGGTGCGAGGAAGAAGCCGCAACCCGATGCGTATTCGTCGATCGCGAGAGTGCCGCCCACCACCAAGTGGTCAACCGCGAGAAGAGGGCGGAAAGGGACGGCTGGTGACAGAGATGACGAAGCGATTGCCGCTGATACCCTGTTGCTTCTGGCTGATGGAAAGCCGCAGCGTCCGGAGACCACTATCACCACTGAGGGGGAAGACACTGATACGAAACAGATCGCTGGCACTCATTTTGCTGGCACCGATGGGATTGGTTGGGATCAGAAATCTGCTGACATGGACGCCGGCAGCTACGGTAATGAACTGATATCGAGCTACAAGAGATCAAAGAAGAGGAAGATCAAAGAGCTGGAACTGGTGAACGGGTCCGGCACATCTGTTCGTTGTCGAAGGTATCAGTGCAGTGTATGCTTCAAGACTTTCTCTTCTCACCAGGCACTGGGAGGACACCGAGCCAGCCACAACAAGAAGAAGAGCAATCCCGTAGAAGCAGCGGCGATCCCTGACGAGAACGAAGGTGGCAACCCGAAGCATGGCGAAGATTTGATCCGTGCAAACGGTGCCGTGATCAAAGCGGAGATGGCAGAACATCGATGCACGAACTGCAACCTGACGTTCCGAAGCGGGCAGGCACTCGGGGGCCACAAGAGACGGCACTTCAATGAGCTGCAGCATCGAGCTCCATCGTCTTCTCCACACTCATCTGAAAGCGACAAGGGAGCGAATGGGCTGCTACAGAATCGAGTTACATCTTCTTCAGCGCACTCATCTGAGAGCTACAAGGGAGCAAAACATGGGCTGTTTGACTTCGACCTCAACGAGGTGCCGGAGCTCTAACCACAAGGAGACCACACTGCCTGCATCTCCAATCCTCGATTGCATTATTGGCTACTAACTAGTTTTAGCTACAAGATTTCAGCATCGTCTCCTTCAAAATACTTGCGCACTTGTTTTCCAGTCACAAATGAATAGTAGATATTAAATATTGCACCATTTGCCTCCGATGCGATAAAGAGTATCAACATATGTAAAAGAGAAAAAAAAAACACACACTACTTTTCTTAATATTCATCAAGAAAAATAAATTTTAAATTTAGAAGAGTTAATCTTTTGATTAGTGAGAGTTTCATAAGTTTGAAATATTGTTTCAAGGATGGAAGGATAAGATTTGCTGTTGGCTCCAAAGCAAAGTAATATATTATGGGTATACATAAAGATTGAAGGTTCACTTAATACAAAATAGAGTGATTTGCATTTCTAAAATATTTCAATTAAGCAAACAAGGATATCAAGATGTTCTCCTTGGCACAATCCTTTTTTTTTATCTTTTAAAGAAGAAAAGGAGGAACCATTAATATGGCATTAAAGCAATAATACCAGCAGCACCAAAGACTGTATGAAATGTAGAGAAAAATTTTATTGGAAAGAACATATCACTGAAGTCATCTGAATTTGGTGTCTAAAACATACTTCAGATTTGATCTAGCTTATATTTTTGTTATAAAATAAAGTTAATTTATAATCTTGTATCTTTGTATTAGGAAAAGATGCCATGAGAAGGTGCAAAAAAAAAAGAAGAAAAAAAGAAAGGTTGTATTGAATAAGGTCACTACTAACACAAGTGCATGAACCTTTGAATAGGTACAATGCATCATCTAATCCCTATAAATAGACAGAAATTTATTTATGGCATTAAGTGTGTAGAAAAAGTTGTCATTATTGAGAAGCATTGTAATTACGTTGGTCTTTTTGTTTCCACCATTCCATCAGTCACTTCTTCTCATTTTCTTTCTTTTTTTTTTCTTTTAAATCAGATTGGTATTAGGATGATTTTATAAGTGACTTCCAACTTATGAGAGAGAATTATATATAAAAAAAATAGAATATCCCTCCCTATTATATATCTTGAAATGGGGGAATGAAATCATGAATAGGTAGGTGCATATAAATAAAATAGTATTATTGTGTTTGATAGAAAGAATCATTATGAAAAAGTTACATGCAGTTTTGAATTGATACATTTCCCCTATGATATCACCCTTCGAAGTATGTCCTCTTAACGCTTACAGACAGATACAGACAGATAGGAGTTTTATGATATTGAACGTATAAAAGAATTATAATGACACTCTTTCGCCAAGATTTCATGCAAACCACTTAAAGATATCAGCCTACTCTCCAACCATAGGCAGTGGGATGTGATGTCAAATACGGTTCATACCCTCCCTCTTGGCACACCAGGTGGTGTTGTCCTATCGGGCAGTTTCATGAGAGCCTGCCTCATCTTCCATACTCCATCTCATGTCTCGTTTAGATTGCCATGCCCACCGCCACTGCAAACACCTCATATTTCTCTCTCGAATTGCTTCTCTTTCTGAGGGGAGACAAACCAATGGCAACTCAAACTCTTCTCTCTCCAATGGAAGCTGGGAGACAACTCCTCGGAGGAGGAAGACCTCTCCAGCCTTCCGTCTCCACATCTATCGACTCTCCAAGAAGGGCTTCGTTCGTTGTTAGAGCAGCTTCCACACCCCCCCCTTTGAAGGTCATACGCTTGTTCATATTTTCATGCGAGGAGCAGATAGATTTCATGCATTAGATTTGATGTCAGACTTCCGAAAACATCATTGAATGCACTATTGGGCGACTTTAATGACTTGTTGTATATAAACTGTTCTTCGCTGACATGAATCATCTTGTCAACTTGTCAGAAGGAGCAGATAGGCAACTCCGGTTTGCATCCAAACAATCCCTCTCTTACTTGGATGGAAGGTAGACTATATTTCCTGACATGGAGCATAACCTACGCACCGCAGGTGCGATCGCGCCGGAGACTCTGGGGAAGCTCGGCATGAGACCAGCCGAGACTGCTCTTCCGTGCTTCAAGACCGGGGCAATACCACCTGCAGGAACATGCGCCGACTGGGCGGACCCCTACACTCTCTTCGTGCTGGAGACGGCGCTCATGGGGTTTGCGGAGCACAGGAGGTTCCAGGACTGGGCAAAGCCGGGCACCATGGGGAAGCAGTACTTCTTAGGGCTGGAGAAGGGGCTGGGTGGGTCAGGAGACCCTGCTTACCCTGGAGGACCTTTCTTCAACCCTCTTGGCTTTGGGAAGGATGACAAGTCACTCAAGGACTTGAAGCTGAAGGAGGTGAAGAATGGGACGCTGGCTATGTTGGCCATACTGGGGAACTCTGGGCAGGGGGGGTTTGTCACCGGGGTTGGGCCATCTCACAACCTGTTGGGTCACTTGGCTGATCCAGTGCACAACAACATCCTGACCAGCCTCTACTTCCACTAGGAGGAGGTCCTCTCTGCTGGTAGAATTCTGTATCTGAACATTACCTGCACAGAATTCTTTATCTTGTGTCTTTCAGCGGACACTTGTCGTTAGCATCATCCTGCAATGGACTGACTGTATCATTGTTCGATAGAGATCCGAGGGTGCAAGTCATATTCTACTATCATGTAGCAGTACCAGTCATGTTTGTGGAAATTTCATCTGTGAAAAAACCTTTTGTTTCTCGCTTCTAGTATAAGATGAGCATGTAAAGCCTTGAATCAACCCAGAAACCAGTTACACAATGGAAAGAGACTAGGAAATGGATGTGCTTACATATGAAGAATCCTCGGAACACATTCGACCTAGTTCTGGGATTTCGTGTTAATCCTTCATGAACACCATACTATTCCCCCCATGATGTTATCCTGATTCCTAGCAGTGTCTTACCATCTACTAGTCTCAACAACTTAATTCATTGAAAGGTACTCCATGAACATATATTGATATTAGAAAAGTGCAGTCTCACATTATTGATAAGATGCAGGAGGAATTAAAGCAGAAAATGGAGGTTTGATGCATAATGCAAGTTGCTGAGACAAAAGCAGAATAAGAATACATAAGTTCCAGTTCAGAATTTATTAGCAACAAGAAGAACAAACATTGTTCACTGTGCAATGGAAACTCTTAGCCATTGTCAAGAGGAACTAGGTGGGTGATGCACTGATCATTCTCACTTCACATTATGCTTTGCTTAAAGTCCAATGCACTGAAATTGTAAAGAAGGAAAATGTTTCAAAACCAGCAGGAAAACATCAAATCAAATACATGATCTATTTTGAGATTCTGATTCTTAAGTTTTTGCCAGCTTGATTCATTTGATAACTGTCACTTTCTAGCTGTACTAGAAGCAATCTGCCAAAGAAACTCTGCATAATCGGCAGCTTGGCCTCCGCAGATACTGAATTCTGAAACTTGAGGGGAAACCTTCTTATGCTCACAATAAAATAAATGTAGGATCAATGCAGGATTCGCGAGTAATACATCAAAGGTCCCTTTTGACCTGTAGGAGACTGGAACACGGTGGGGCTTGACAGAAAAAGGTCATGTCCTTCTGAAGTGATTCCTTGATTCATGAAACTGGCACTGATACTTGAATATGCGTACGGAAACAAGATTCTTGGGCAATCTCTAATATGATGTTGCAGTGGATAGCAGGAGAATGGCCTATTAGGCAAAGTGCTTGCCGAATTTGATAGGCAGCCTTTTAGAATCAGCCTCATGCTTGGGTGAGCCATCGATCACAATCACCTTGTCCAGCGTATGATGAGATGAGGTGAGCTTTGTACTCGATGTCCTCTGCTGAGTTTGTTGATCCCTACAACCATTTTGCAGTGAAGACCATGCAAAGCCACCAACTGAGGTGCTAGGTAGATCTAGGGGCATCTGGTGAGATCACACATTGGTAAACCTGAGCCAATGTCTGGAGAAATCTCACGCTTTAAGTGATTGTTACTGGAAGCACAATGATTCACCTGTTGTGTGCAATCCAATGCAGTAGTTTGAGGTTGCACAATCTCTTCATGGTTCACCACCATCAAATTTTTGCCCATCAACCTTATTATAGGACTGGAAACAGAATGAATCTGTGATTGAGGTGATGGCCCAGGTGAAGATATCTTGACAGCAAAATCCAGTGAACTTTTCACGGAAACTGACTGATTTGGTGGTCTGATGTTTGAGTTTGCTGTTGCACTAATTAATTCTATGATCTTGGTGCGCTAATTCGAACAGAGCTGAGCAGTATAACTCGTGGAGGATAAATGAGAGAAACCGACTCGTGCCTTCCATGCGTTATGCCGCTCTGCTCTGTTCGCACGGCTCCCATTCGTCCTCCACGAGTCGGCTTCTCTCTCACCACCATCACGAACAGAGCAGTGTAACGCATGCAAGGCACGAGTCGGTTTCTCTCATTCGTCCTCCACGACTTATACTGCTCTGTTGAACAGAGAAGAGAGAAACAATTGTGAGAGAACAACTGCCCTGCTCTGTTCAACAGAGCAGCATAACTCGTGGAGGACGAATGAGAGAAATCGACTCATGCCTTCCATGCGTTATACTGCTCTGCTCTG